TATATATATATATATATATAAACATATATTACCAAATTTGGTTATATATATATATATATAAACATATATTACCTCACTGTCTGAATGTATTTTCTTATACATTCATATGTTTTTCTTAACCTTCTGTGATTTCAACACTCAGCAGTAAATAGAGAAAAAACTAACAGACTGAAAAGCTCAAAAGTGTATTCTTATACAGAGTTTCAAATTATGCTTTTAAATAGTTAATTTGCAATTATTTGACCAGAAACTTATTAATTTAGCAGAACAGCACATACATGAATGTATAAAAACATCTCAAAAGATGTGTTTTTCTAAGTGAATTTCTTTTCATCTTTTCAAGTTCAAATGTAAAGCACTGTAATAAAATTTTACGCAACATAGAAATTTTGCTTTAATATTGAAAAATTACTTGTTTGCAGTGATTCTCCTATGATACTTTTATTAATGTATAAAAGAAAAAAAGCAATGCATGCATGCTATATGGTTCAAATTAGTGAAGATACTTCAAGAAATACATGGTAAAATGAAACAAAACACTTCCACATCATTTGTTCATAGAAATGTGACAATGTACAAGAGCATAAAATAGTAACATGCCAGCTTAGCCTACTTATATTACTAAAAACTTTATTATGTACCCATAATGGATATGCACTGAAGACTTAATCAAAGTCAGTAAAATATTTAATTAAATTCTCCTCCTCCCACAGTTAACACTATAAGTATATTTAAGAGTATTTACAATTTGTAAATAACAAAGACTAATAAGAATAAGAGAGATAGTACAATAACTTTTACAATAAAATAAATGACTAATCAACATACCTAAAACCACTAATTCAACTTCAGCTTCATCTTTGCCAACTTCATTCTCTGCAATAATTGTGTACAATCCAGTGTGTTTACGCTGAGCATCAGTAATGTTCAGCTTTGTGTTGTAATCCACATTAATGATTTCAATGTGCTCAGTGTTCTCCACAACCTAAAAATAAATTAGTATAAAATCTAAAAATCCATGAAATTCACTTCAAGTAAATATGGACTAAGAAAATAAAAACCAATGTGACAAAAAGAAATAAAAAATTAAAAGTGAATAAAAAACATAAAACATTGTTTATTTTGGATAGTTGTGCAAAGCTACACAAGGATTATCTGCATTAGATGTCCCTAATCTTGAACTGACAAACTAAAGGGGTGGTAGCTAGTGAACCGCACCCACTTGCAACTCTTGGGCTGTTATCAAATTAGCATCTCTATCTAGGGAGGAACAGACAATCAAGATGAGCAGAAGAAACCAACTGGCACACATAACGGACAAGATCTCTGGAAAAAGGTGATCCCATGGCATGAATAAATTATTGTGGAAACCCCAAAGAAGAGTATTGTATGCCAAGTATAATCTGATACAGAAGGTGATGAGGGTCATTAAGATTATATACAGACAAGATTGATGAAAAAAAGGGGATCCCTTGGCAAGAATACATTATTGTGGAAACCCCAAAGAAGAGTATTGTATGCCAAGTATAACCTGATATAGAAGGTGATCAGGGTCATTAAGATTATATACAGACAAGATCCCTGGAAAAAAGGGAATTCCAAGGCAAGAATACATTATTGTGGAAACCCCAAAAAGGAGTATTGTATGCCAATTATAACCTGATACAGAAGGTGATCAGGGTCATTAAGATTATAAACGGACAAGATCCCTGGAAAAGAGATGGATGAAAAGGTATGTTCTCCTTTTTAAGCTGCCCATAACTTAGGAAGAAATGAGCAGTCAAGGAATAAAATAAAGGAAGAAAAATAAGTGTGGGAGGCATCCATTACATAAAGATCAGGTGTGAAAGGACCACAAGCAAAAGGAAGAGATAAGGAGCAAGTGGCCAAGGATTCAAACAGGGACTGCATAAGAGTGTGGAGAACCACATTACAGTCCAGTCAGGCAAACGAATTGGATGAAAAGGATGATGAATTACGAAGGACTGAAACAAGGTGGAAATAACAGGGAAGAAAAAGAACCACAGTAAAAAAGGTAAAAGGTAGCTAACAAATCCACCCAATAATCCGTGCTGGTAGAAACTGACAATCCTTTGTTAAACAACCAGGTAAAGAAAGCTGGAAGGTAGTCAACAGTAGGATAACCTGGTGGTAGAGAGTGGGGGATGGATCAGTGGCCAGAAACATGTCACTTGCATTGATAGATAAAAAGAACAGAAGGGTAACAGGAATGAGATAAAAGAAAAGTTATGTGGTTGGAGAAACATGACCGGCAATAAGGGACAAAATCCCTAGCTGAAAGAGTTGGAGCAAGCAAGAACAGTAAAAAAAGAGGTAAAGGAAGATGTGTCCTGGATATCAATCAGTGGAGAATAGGAAACCAAGAATGAGCTGGTCAATAGAACCTCACAAGGAATGCCATGAATCATTACCAGGACGTATAGGAGAATTACATTTAAACTTAAAGAAACAAGTCCATTAAAGACGGTGCCAAGGAAAAGAAGGAAGTTAATTTCAACTGCATGTGCTTATGGAGATATACTGCAGATGTGTCACCCTCTTATTGGTGGAGAGCTATTATCACATGTTCATATCAAAACACATGTCTTAGGTGGGAGATAGTTCAAGGCTAGTGACAAACGTGACAGGAATAGTTACTGTGTGAAGAGGTAAGTGAATCCTTTTGGAATTTTTGTTTTGTTAGTTTTTTTGTGTGTAGAATTCATGTCTTTGATTACCATGCTATATGAATATATATAATTATAGCATTCTTTTTTTTTAGTTTGTTTTTGTTTAGTGTAGAATTAATGTCTTCAGTTACCATGCTGTATTAATAAATATTTACTGATTATAATTTCTCTATTGATAATGTTATAGAGAGTCAGTTTTCATAAAATATTAGAAAAAAAACAAACAACTGAACTATCATGAAATCATGGAGACAGCCTAGTAAAATAAACATTATTTAGGTTTTAATTAAATTTAGAACTTTTTGTTTTCAAAAACTATAATTTTATAAGTGTACAATTCCAAGCTGTAGCTGTAATATTTTGTAAGTTAGATTTTACGATTCCTACAAATTACCTTTTCTTTCACCATCCATGTGACTTTGGGAGGTGGCTCTCCTCTAATGTTCACATCCAGTTTGATATTTTTACCTCTCTTAACTGTGGTGGTATCCAGGTTGGTTCGATCAATATATGGTTTTACTGTAAGGAAACAAAAATGTAAACTATCTAATTAATACTTTGTTTCGAACAGATGTTTCAGATTAAACTGAATTATCTAATGTTAACTTACGTTATTCTAAGATGACTAGATGTGAGTTTAAGAGTATAATAAAATGATACTTATATTTTAGAACAACTCTAAGATTTTAGATTTTCAACAAGACAATTTAACTACACATGGTATCAAAGAGCAAATACTTACACCAAATTTATAGAGTATAAAAAATCACACTTGCTAACAGTAAAAGAGTCAATAAGACTATAAGAAAGGGTTATATACAGCCATATAATTATTTTCTAGAAGTCTAGGATTCACAAAATATTCACTGGTTTTGCTAAAATTACATAAAGCACTACAAACTATAAAGAAAAGGAGAAGGTAAACTTGAGACTCACATCTACGATGTTTTACTAAGTGATTGTTGGTGGCATCACTTGGCTCACCAGGTCCAGCTTTATTGACAGCTACAACACGAAACTGGAATTCTTGCCTTTCTTTCAGATCAGGTACCTTAGCTTCCAACTTATCACCGGGAACTTCAACTGCTTTCTCCCAGTTCAAGGTGAATTTCTCTTTTTTTTCAATAAAGTATTTTGTGATAGGAGCACCACCATCACTCTTGGGAGGTTGCCACTTCAGGTCAACACTTACATTATCCCAGTCAACTAATTCTGGAGTCCCTGGCTTACCTGGCTCATCTAAAATACCATAATAAATTTTACTTAAAAGAAAAAGTACCTCTAAACTCACGAGACAAAGTAAAAAACCGAGTGAAGTCTAGATGTACGGAAAGAAACTAAATATAAGAAGTTGTAAATGTTTTATAAAATAAAGGTTTTCTTATTAATACAACAAAAGATTGTGTGTCCTATTAAAAAGCACATCTGTCTAACTCAAACTAGACCTGCTTTCCACTTTCCAATTCAGTGTCGTAAACCATATAAGAGTTACTGAAACAATTTTCTGTGGGTTTGAAGACTTATAACAAAGAACATCATCATATTCAGACAATAAATGATATATCTACACATTGAACTATGTTTATTAAAACAAGCTTTTACATACTATATAGTATAGCAGAACTAGTATTGCCAGAATGTTTTAAATATGGACAACATTATAGTAGTAGCATGCACAAGACCATGCACAACAATAGCAGTAGTGTATTGAGTAAGTGTCCAAAGATACAGTAAATAAATATATTAAACAATACAAGTAACAGAATTTCAACAAATACATATAAGTGTGAGTGTTGAAACAATTTAATTAAACTTCAGATTTTTTGTTTTTGTTTTTAGTAGTAAAATTCATGAGTGTCTGAAACACATGCTTAGGAAATCTAATTATTTTCATTTTGATATAAAAGATCAGCGCATAAACTTATAGTCTTATCTAAAGAAATAAAAAGAAACTATATGAAACCTGGCAGAAACCTCTACAATTAAAACTAACATTTTGTATTCTTGAGAAAACCTAAAACTATCTTTGATATATATATATATATATATCATACAAACATTACTAGTTAATAGTTCCAAGAACGTAACTAAAAAAAACCCAGCAAGCTCATAAACATCATGTACCAATGCTAAACACAATATAACTTGATAACCATCTTCATGAACCTTAGGAACTCTGTATATAATACCAGAATTATTGGTTTTATTTTATAATATTCGTTTTTTCATCAACCAATTTTCTTTGTTTAATTTTAGAAGATAACTTCATAACTTATCATATCTAGTTTTAGTTGGATATATGTCTGATTTTACAAATTTAGTTCTATCATTTAAAATTTCTTTAACTTTATTAATATGATTAATTTTATTTAAAATAACACTATTTGCTTTGTCTGGTTTTATAATCATTAGTTTTTCATCTTTACTTAAACTTTCTATTTCATATCCTAAAATAGCTTTGATATAGTCTCTCTATACTAATATTCCTGTAGATGAGACTATAACTCTAAACATCTGTACAAAAATGAAAATAATTAAATTAGATTTATCAATCAAGTGTTTCAAGAGCTTCAGATTTATGCAAAAAATTAAATAATAAAATGTTATATCTAAGAAAATGAAACAAAATAAATTAGAGATAAATGAAATTCATCAACACATTAAAATTTTGCTCTACTGAAAACACTTAGAAGCCTAACATGCATTTTATTCTCAGATAAATCATAAAAGTCTGTCAGTTAAGGATTAATGTCATTAATCAAATCAAATCAAACTATTATTTTTAATTCCATGAGTTAATCTAAATTGTGCTTCAGTTTTCTTTGAACTAATGATCTGGCCTCCTCTTTTTCTGCAGTGAATGTTGTTCTAATAAATTTCATATTGACATAAATGGTCAGCAAAAGCAAACATTTCATGCATGTTTCATTGATGATCTCACACCCGGACATACAGTGTATTTCTTATCACATTCCAGCTAATAGACTGATCCATTTTGTCTATCTTAAGATGTGGGATATACCTTTGTACATTTTGAAATTGTTTCTCAATTGGAAAGAAACACTATTGTTGTTTTGTGAGAAAATATTCCAATTTTTACCTTCTGAACACCTATCATCATGAAATGGATTTTTGTTGACTTTTGTTTTCATATTGAATTGATGCCATTAAAGTTTCTTCAAAATTTTCACCATGTCTCCAGATGACAAAAATTTAGTCAATGAAATTAGGTTTTCTGAATTTGTTTTTTTAATGTCTCAACTTTATCCTTTGTCAGTAGAATATACCACAACTGATTTGTTATATTTTAAATAATATAAAGAAAGATGCTCACAAGGTAGAGACTTTTTGATAATGTAACATCAAAATTAAGTCCAAGGGATAATAACTTTTCCTGGTAAATCAAACTGAGATTAAAAACATAATTACATATTCTAGGAGTTAATAAAGCTCAGTTGTATTATTCAACACTGAGCAAATTTCTGTACATTATCTGTTCAAATGTTACCAGAACATTCATAAATCTATTCTATATGGTGTGTTACTGTTACAATTTGAAAACATATGCATGTTTCTGCTATCTTGTTACCAATATTTAACTTTGTTTTCATGAAAACACTACTTCGGACACCTAATGATATTCCCACTACTGGATACAAAAGCTTGTTTCAATAAACAATTGAATGAGTAGATATCCTGTTTAGTATCTAAGTAATATATGGCCACGTGATACGAGTCCTAAAGTATATTTAGCATTTTAAATCTAAAATAACACCTTGAAAATATAAGAAATAACTTAAATCCTCATCTTTATGCTTTTCAATAATTCCCATTATTCATGAACATTTAAATATTTTGAGATATTAACTTTATTAATTCATAAAAAAGTCAATTATCTTACCATAAGGATTTTTGGCAACAATTGGTTCAAGAGTTTCTAGTGGTTCAGAGTCTCCTTCGTCATTCAAAGCTGCTACACGAAACAGGTACTCTTTCCCTGGAGTCAAACCTGTCACTTCAAAATCTGGTTTGTCACTCTTTCCACAACGAGTCCATCTTCCAGTTTCTTTGTCAAGTTTTTCAATTTCATAATGCTTGATAGGAGTGCCACCTTCGTCTTTAGGCTTCCTCCATTTCAGTTTGCATCCTTCTTTATGGACATCATTAACTTCCAGTGGACCTTCTGGTCTGGAAGGTTTTCCTGACAAGTTAAGATAAAAGGAATTCACTTCACTAGAACAAAATTAAAACATGTATTAAACTATAACTATTAAAGCTTAAGAAATCATATGAGGTTCTTCTGAAAGATACTTAAGCTAAGTATCAGATATAAAATTATCTGATACAAGGATTTTTACACATTCAGAGACAATTTCAGTTCAAGAAAATCCATTATTATGCTGCTTAACTTTAATTACTGTTTTCTCCAGTCACATTTTATTAGCACGATTGAGAACATGAATTAAAGCAACATAATCATCAAATCCAATTAGAAAAGAAAAAAATATTTTTAACATGAAACAAAACTAAATTTGAATATTGGACAATATTACAATATTAACTTGCACCCACAGCCCCAAACTACAGAGCACTTTTATGAAGCAATGGGTCATGAACCGTGAATTCTCAGATTCACAGTCTGGGTATGCTAACCATTACACCATACTCAGCCCTTAAAAGAAGAAAAATAAAGAATTTTATTTTCAGCTTCTTTAATGAGAACCAGATAATTAACTGTGAAAGAAATAGACACTCAGAAAGAATAAGATGTAATAAAGGATCATAATTTGAGTCCTAAATCAGTAAGTTCAAGCTCATTTTAAATTGAGTAAATACAAATAGTTTGAAATCCTGCATTAAAGTAACAAATACAAATTTACTAAATTTACTACTATTAATATTTATTGTACATTCTATATTACAAACGAGATGATTTTTGAATAAATAAACAGACTGAAAACATGTATAATATTATACTAATATCATTATAATTTCAGCATTTTGAATTTAAAAACTGATATAAAAAAATCTCTGAAAGGGTTCTTACCAAGTACTGTTAGTTCAGCTGTGGCTGTGTCCTTGCCTGATGAATTTGTTGCTGTGATTATGTACTTCCCTGAATGTTTTCTTGTTGCCTTATTCACAGTGATGTCAGAGTGGTAGTCTCTATTTTCTATTTTGATGTGCTCATCATTACTAAGTTTAACTCCACTCTCACCAAAAGTCCACACTACATCAGGTGGAGGTTCACCTCTAATGTCTACTTCAAATTTATGAGATTTTCCTACCTTAATCACCACACTGACGAGGTTGGTACGGTCAATCATAGGTTTCACTGTAATCAAATAAAATTTCTGTGTTTATCTGTAACAATTAAAATTCAATGAACAGTAGTCTTAAGATTTTAAAGAAATATTAATTTTTCATTGACAAGCTGACTTTAATTAGAATTTTAGCAAAACAAAGGTATAAATGACGACATAAATTATTTTTAGATATTAATGTTTTTTAACGATTTACTTTAAATTATTATTAATTAAAATTGTCAATTTATTGTTTTAAGTTTCACCCCCCTACACAATTATAAAAGACAGTACATAAAACTAATTAACCATTGCAATAACAATATAGAAACAATGTTTGTCAACAAACATCAATAAGAAACCACTTCCCCATACTGTCATATTTGTCATTAAGGTTGTACATATTCTCAGTATTAAATACTTACAGTATCTGTGTTTTACAATGTGGTTCTTAGTAGCATCACTTGGTTCACTCAGTATTAAATACTTACAGTATCTGTGTTTTACAATGTGGTTCTTAGTAGCATCACTTGGTTCACTCAGTATTAAATACTTACAGTATCTGTGTTTTACAATGTAGTTCTTAGTAGCATCACTCGGTTCACTCAGTATTAAATACTTACAGTATCTGTGTTTTACAATGTGGTTCTTAGTAGCATCACTTGGTTCACTTGGTCCAGCAATATTGACTGCCCGGACACGAAACTGGTAAACCATGTTTTCCTTAAGGTCAGGTACTCGAGCCTCGGGCTTTTCATTTTCTGTTTTCATGGCTTCAACCCAATCTGTGGTAAACTTATCCTTCATTTCAATGATATAATGAGTGATAGGCTTGCCTCCATCACTCTCTGGTGGGGACCATTTCAAGTCAACCCGGGTGTTATCCCAGTCAACTATGTCAGGAGCTGAGGGCTTTCCTGGTTCATCTACCAGCACAATATAAATAAAGGTATAGATCTAACACATACCTTATGAAATATGAGCTGCTTACACAAAAATTGCTAAATATACTTAATCAAAATGATATTTCAACCTTCCTCTTTTTTTAGGTCAAAATTTCATTTTACTCATGGCAAAAATTGGAAAAAACTCAAGCATATTAATCAAAAGTAAATTTTTTTGTTAATTTATGTCCTTTTTTTTACATAAAGCATTACTTGTGTCAACAGAACTGCTATTAAAACGTATGTAAAGTCTTTTTAGATATTAAATTAAATATTGGTACCAATAATTCTTCTTATAATCAATTAAAATGTTGGTAAGCATCTTTAAAAAAATAAATAGTCCTGAAATTTGATGAAAAAATATTCTAAAAAACTGTATGTTATATATTATATAATTAGCATGACTGAAACACAAATTGCCCAATATTCTGACTCCAAGTAAGACTATATATATAGACACACACATTCACATGAAACAACCAACAGAGAGAATTTATATGCATATGAACCTCAACTATTTTTTCACTAGTTTTAAATATGTTTGTAAAAGATGTTGGTTCTAGAACAAGTTTGAAGTTTTAAAAAAGAAAGAAGCTTGTTCCAGAAACCAACATATTCGACAAACATAATTTTCAGCTACTGATGTTGTAGTTATCTTAATTCAAACAAAAAAACAAGTCCAAGTTCATATAAATTCTCTCTGTTGTTAATTTCATATAAATATATGTGTGTGTGTGTATATATTTGTACTGAAAGCCTGTAGTTGTAAAAATACTGCCATCAATAGTCTTATTTGGAGTCAGAATGTTGGACAATTTGTGTTTCAGTCATGCTAATTATATGCATATGTTAACATCTTCCTACACTGAAAAAATAACTCTAATAGATACTTACCTTCACCACATAATAGCATTTCTTGACTTGTGCTGCCCTCTATTTGCACAATTTTTGCTCGCCAATAGCCTTGATGCTCCCACCTACTCTCATGATTTCACGTGGTATAACTGCACTGTAGCATGCAAATGAGCATGCAACAACCATCCACTAATAGGAGTGTGATACACCCTCCTAGTGCAGCTGACTCCCTCTATATTGTAGACAACTCTCATAAATTTCAGATTAGGCAAAAAAAAAGATGCACCAAAAGTGGGAAAGATGTGTGGGAAGTGTGAAAGGAGGTAAGTATCTACTGGAAATACATTTTAAGTCCTGAAAAATGTTAACTTCCAATATGATACCTTACTCCGCTCACATAATAGGTACAATCTCACATTGAAACGGTGGAGGGACCTGTGCAAAAGTTACCTTGATAAACACTCTTCAGAAGGCACTCAAAAAGAACCCATGTAGTGTGACACCCTAATATAAATAGTCACATTTATGGAAGACTGCACCCCATCTGTACCAGGTATACTCTTGACTCTTGTCAAGATATATGTTGCTAAATCAGGTGGGAAAGATGTGTGTCCAACATGTAATTGGATGCATCAGATGGTGTAGAGTGGCTAGAAGACATCAGACCATATTCAGTTGGTCAACTCCAGTCCAAAACCAAGCGAAATTTGGTATTTGTCTTCCGGTCCATAGTAGGAGGACGATCCTAACCATATTCACCTCAAAACCAGGAAGCAGAAGGGAAAAACAACTTCTGTTCTTATAACTAGCTATTGCACGTGTGCAGACCACTACACAACCAACACCAGGCCACATGGGAACCCTACTACCAGATAATGGTAGGAATGGGAAATACAAATGTGGTGGGTCAACTTCTGTCTAAAACCAGTTGGCTTTGGGAATTTTTCATCCATTCTGTGGTAGGAGGAGGTTCCCTACCAATCATATGTATGAAGACTTATGTTGACTGGTCCTATGCCAATCCAATACCAGACCACCCTGGAACCGACATCTAGGCAGTGGTAGGTTGTAGAAAAGCTAGCCAAAGGATTATACTGATTGTGTTTGATTCAACTAGTCCAAAACCAGGCAGCATCGGATATATGTCTTCTGGTCTGTGATAGGAGGATAGTACTCACCATCTACATATCACTGCTATATTCTTTACTGAGTGAAATTGGCCACATTCAGAAGGAAGCCACCATGATCAACCATCCCAGAGGCTAGGAACTTGATAGTGGCAAGGATTCCCATACTCCACTGGGAGAGGAGGGATAACAGAGTCCAGAGAAATGTAGCACCATAAGATAGTGCACTGGGTGACTACAAAAACCCTATTTTGAAAAGCAGGCTGGTCCTGATTTATTTGACTAGGATCAGAGGGATGGGTAGAGATCCTAACACTGTATTACTCATGACAGTCCATGAGTTGATACAGTCTGGTGCAGGCCTTATTTATGAAACATGATACCATAAAGCAGCTTCCAGCAGTCTTGTGAAACACCCCATCTCTTCAGTGAGTGCTATAGACTTGTACAGCCATATGGTGTGGATTTACGTTTAAGTATATTTGGACAAGCACCAGTCGCCATAGAGCAGGATCTGGGAAAGGAGAAAGGGCCAATGTAAAGGAAAGAAATAAAAAACTAAGAATTTACCCTTTCAGATTCAAAATGAGGTATGGAGAATCGCATCGGGCAGCAACACATAGCCTGAGGAGGAGGAGAAGGCCAAATGATGCAGGTAGTGGGCAATAAGCATGTGAGGCATAGTCCACATGCCAGCCAACACAATCTCTTCCAATGGACGATGGAATTGGGCAGTCAGGGAGAGGGTGAGATGACAAATCTGGTGGGAGTAAATATGGAAAATATGACAAGAATCCTCAGATAAAAACTGGACAACCACCCCAGAGGCTGGACAAAATTCATGCATGAAGACAGAGTGTAGATAAAGCAGGGTGAAGGACGAAGGACTAAGGCTGCAGAAGAAAGGATCAGGAAAGTGAAAGAGGTATGGGAGGAGATGATCAAAGGAGGTTCAACAGTGGAAACTACAGATATGCAGTCCAGAATGGGTAATTAGAATAATTCGACATGCAGTGTTCTGTATATGAGAGAGAACACGAGGAAGAAGATGGATGGGAGGATAAGCATACATGTAAAGATTGGTTCAATCCTGACTAAAAACATCCACTACTAAAGCCGAAGGATGTGGTACAAGTGACCAGAAGAGGGTAAATTTTGTATTGAGCTGGGTTGGGACAAGATAGTCGAACTGCCACAAGATTCAAAGCACTTGGGATGTGACAAGCAAGAAGACAGACCTGCTGAGATTAGGCTCAGAAATGCGGATTTGAAAGCAAAGAAAATGAGATCGAGTGCATCCTTAATAATTGCTGTAAGAAATAATGGTTGAATTGTCAGAATGGATCAGGACCAGGTGGTCCCATACCACTGGAAGGAAATGATCCAAAGCCTTATGAACAGCTAGGAGTTCCAAAAGGTTGACGTGTAAGGAAGAATCGACCATCAAACAGTGACCAGCTATCTTCTGAGAATCCAAATATACTCCCCATCCTTTAGGAGAAGCTGTTCAGCATGGACTCAAATATTAGGTGAGGAGGGAAAATTAAAAATCCAACATCAGGGCAGAATAAAGAAGGAAAAGAGAGATGAGGTAACATACCTGAGGAATTATGTCCGGAATGCAGATGAAGAACGAGGTCAATAGAAAGAGGTAGAATAGGAAAGCACAGTAAAGGCAGGAGGTGGGAAAAGGCTGTCCAAATCGTTTTCTTCAGGAACAGATTCTCCAGGGAAAGAGAGATCTGCCCAGGGTTTTGGAGAAGTAGCTGGCCACATGATAGACTTTAGCTCCCAATGCATCAAACCATCTTTTCTTCACCATAAGGATTTTTTGCAACAATTGGCTCATCAATCTCCAGTGGATCTGATTCTCCTTCTTTGTTAACGGCTTTAACCCTGAACTTGGGAGTCAAGCCCTTTACCTTGAAACCATCCTTTTCAGGTCCAACCTCACCAGTTTCAGTATCCATCTTTTCAATAAAGTATTCTTTCAAATCTTGTCTAACAGTATCCTTAAGCTTTTTCCATTTCAGCTTGACATGACTGTCATGGACTTTCTCTACCTTCAGTGGTCCTGTCTGAGTTGTTGGCTTGTCTGGAAAGTATGGAACCTGAAGCCACAGAAGTAGTAAGTGCTGTTGGTTCAGTAGTGGAAGGATCCATACCAGGAGAATACATTATGTGGAAAAGAAAAGAAACTTCCACATATTTTTTCTTTTAACCAAGAAAAAATGACAACAAACTAAAGTTGTCAATACAGTAGTATTAACCCTATTGGCACAGGTACTCTTTACTGCGCATGACACAAGG